CCTTTCTTACACTCTCTTGCTGGTTGCCTTCTAGACCCTCGCCATGTAAATTATGCCCACATAACCAATTTGTAATTTACATCTCATCAGAATTTGGCCTTTCGTGAATGTTTAATACTAACCTGTGAAATTTCCATCTCCTAGGTTTGTTCCATTACATGAATGCTCTTTTGATCTGTTTTTTTGTGACAGTAAAAGTTTAAAAATACCTAGGAATGCTTTGAAATTCGCAGATGACCCAAAATGCAAACATACAGTGCATTTTGGACTATAATGTTGATACGCAATAAAATCTTTGGCTTGGATGGAGGCACAGTACGGACTAAACAGAATTGTTGCGTATGGCACAAGGACATGATATGCTAGAAAAGAAAGACTGTCAAGTGGTTCAGTCATCAGAATCCAATCAGTCTCCTACTTTTTTGGTGTCATGTTTCACTCCGCACAAAGAAAAACAGATGCTTTATGTCTTCTTTTTCCGCAGATTACAAGAAGAAAACAATAAAAAACAAAAGTAAAGTCTCCAGGAGAGCGCCTAGGGTGTGTGTCTCCCCACTGTGATAGTCCATCCTGTGCGGACTACAATATGGCTGCCAGTCAATGCCAAAAGCAGAGCCCATGAAGATTTAAAGATGAAGTACACAAGAGTCAAAACACTCACTTAATCGCATACCCATCATACTATTTAGCACAAAAAAATGAACAGCAGCAGAAGCTATCACACTACAAGCTCACTAATAATAGCATCACACCCTGCACACAATACACCCTGCTGTCTTTAATTCTTATGCAGAATGGATGGCTGAAATTTGTATTTTGCTGACGTTAGACCACAGTGATCCCCAGTCTTGTGCGGCCGATTGTTTAAATGATTAATACAACAATGAAAGAACAAAGGGGCCAGGAATTCCTTGTGCAGTCAATACCCACAATATTAATGGGAATTTTGGTGCAGAAAGTATGCAGAATCAGGCCCCAGGTGGTACCTTGATTAAGCACTGTTGTTATTAGTCAGAAAGCGGGATAATTTCCTATGAAAACAAGATTCTGGCATTACCTGTTCCTCTCTCTCTTTTTCTTTGGTCTTGCTCCTAGAGACTCTGGAAGAGGTGACATCCCGAGCTGGAATGACAGAGATCTGATGCAGTGGCATGTTCATCACACCGTCCTGTTTGGTCCTCTCATTTAAAGGAAGGAGTCTTTGATACAGGGCTCATTTAGTGCCATTGCCGGGCCTTGCACCTAAAGAAAGAATGAAAAGCATTAGCATTGTTTGAAATTCAATTATTCTGATGTATTTTTTAAACCATCCAAGTTAAACAACAAATCAGACTAACACTTAACATCTGCTCTTTGGATAATAGAACTGACGTAAGCTTTCGCACACTGGCTGGATCAGGAATTGAAACTCAGAGGCAGACACGTTCACACCTAGGGCAGAGATTCCAATCTGGGGTTTTGGAGCTTTTCATGGGCAATCTTAATTCTGGTATTTCCTAACTTTTGAGTGATTTGCTTGGCTATCTTAATAATGCTGCCCAGTCTCCTTGCCCAACCAGTCCCAGTTCCCCCTTCTGGCTCTCTCCTACTCCAATCTGGCTCACAATCCCAGTCTCCTCCCTCAGACTACTTATTCAATCTAAATCCCTCGTCAGGCTCCTTGTCCCAGTCTCCCACTCTTCCTGGCTCCTTGTTCTAGTTTCTTTACTCAGCAGTCCCAGTTCTCCCTTCACCCCTTGCTCCTTGTCTCCCATTCTCCTCCTCATCAGGTTCCTACTCCCAGTCTCTTTGTCCAGCCAGTCCCCAGTTCCCCCCCCCCCTCTTCCTAGCCCCCAGCTGATCTCAGTATTTTCCCTCCCAGTCAACTGGCTCCCAGTCATTCCCCATTTCCCTCTCCAAATTTCAAATCATTGCTCTAAAGAAAGGGGGTTAAATCAGCTTAACTGCATCTCTCTGGGGTGTGGATTTTTCACACCCCTGAAACATGTAGTTATGCCAATGTAACTTTTCAGTGTAGAGCAGCCCTAAGCATGCAAAGGTTTAGCTCACAATGTGAAAATAAGATGTTATGACAAACTGTTTTGTAGATTTAACTATAATGAATGTAGCTGTTAATAGCAATTAAGGCGCTCCGACACTATGGTGATGAGGCTGTATATAGAATAGAACTGAGCAAGTTGGTGGCCTCTGTCCAGTTCCTAATGGACAAAGCACCACATCTCAAAAACCACCACCACAATTGCTACCAAAGAGATCAAAACAGGAATGACCCATAGAGACTAAACTACCTTTCCACTACCTGAGGTAGTCACTCCAGATCAGGACTGTATACAGGGAAGGGAAGTTTGCACTGTCACTGCTTGTGTTGCACTTGCTGTGTAGATATAAAAGCAGGATTTCCATTTCCAGGGCTGTACTGTAATTCCCGTGCTAGAGCTGGTCAAAACATACCAATTCTTTTTCATAGGAAATTACAAACAAAATTCTCCTGGAAATTTCCCCATGAAGACATTTTTGGCTTTTTGATTGGAAAAAAAAATTGCGAATATATACTTATCTAGATAGGTTTTCAAAAAAACAATTGTGGGGTGTTGGTAAGCATTTTCAATGTCTGAGAAAAACCAAGTAGGTGAGGTAATAGTTTTTATTATTGGTGGAAGAGACAAGCTTTGAAGCTTACACAAAGCTCTTCTTCAGTTTTAGTTTTCTCATCAGAACCACTCCCCCCTCTCCCCAAGAAAACATTGACCAACATGAAAAATCTCTATTGGTCAAAAAGCCATTTTTATATTAAATTTAATATATATCTATATCTAGATATAGATATATATCTCAAACAGCTCTATCCAACACCTTTCATGACCACAAATTAAAATAAATAAAAATGATTCATTTATACGGAAGTGAGCTTTGTAACTTCTCTGGGCATTTGTATAAATAATATTCATACATTAGCAGTGGGAAGAAATCTCTTGAAAGAGGAGTCAATCACAAGAATAGTATGAAGCCTGATGATTGTTATTTTTATTGCAGTGGTGCCTAGCACCCTGAGCCAGCAATCAGAAACCCATTGTGTTAGGTACTGTACACACATACATCCTTCTTTCCCTAGCATAACTTTCAACCAAAACAAAGAGTTATCAGTATTACAAGTAGACATTCAAGAGAGCAATAGTTTGCCTCATGTTTAGGATTCTAGAAACATGTATTGCCAAATTTGCAATGTTGATCTGAAAAGCAAAAAGTAATTAGCAACACCTTTTATTAGATTAGCAAGTTTCTATTAAACCAAATTTTTTTAGAAATACTTCAGGTCATGGTGTGTTTAGTTTGAACCTACCTGCAACAAATTAAGCACAATCAATGGTATTTAAAGGAAGGGATTAGAGAGGAATTAACGCAACAGGGGCTGCATTAAATAAGACTACATGAATCAAGATACATTATGGAAACAAAAGAAAAATACAACTTTGGGTTTGTTTGTTTTTTAAACTCAGTGACAGCTGAAAATGGAGGTGTGCAGATAGGGGTCTAATATATTATAGAGCTCATCCACATGGAAGTGGTATAACCCAGTACACAGTGTCTTTGCTTAAGACATTGTACAAATATATTATAAAATAATGTTTAATTGAACATTTTAAGGAAAGGCCAGGCTTCCAAAGACTTCTAATTCTACATAGGACTAATTATGTTCCCACTAAAGTTAGCTGGAGCTTTGCCACTGACTAGAATGGGAGCAGGATCTGCCTTTAACCCTCACAAGGTCAATGAAGGTAGTAAACTACTGCGGCATACTCTTATAGCTCTTTTCAGCTGTAAATCCCAAGGCACTATATAAAGGGGTTGATGTCTCAATATCCTCATTTTACAGATAGAGAAACTGAGGTACAGAAAATGAATAGACTTAACCAAGATCATACAACAAGCCAGTGGCAGAGCCAGGAACAGAACCCAAGTTTCTTCTGGTCTATCTGCTGGATCGTTCTGCCTGCCCACATATGGGGCCAGGTTGATGTCAATGGAGATAACAGGTATACGTCTGTGTGAGGATCAGGCCCATAGCATATATAGAAGAATGCTAGCAATTATAAGGCACATCAAACCACTGAAGGTAATACATGTATAGCATTTAGATGTCAAGCACATAGAGGATGCTTCTTCCCTCCCCCCGCCCCCATGTTTATTCCTCTCATTTTCATACAGGGTATTTCCTTTGTTGGAGAGGGTATGGGCAGGGCTGGCTCCAGGCACCAGCTGAGCAAGCTGGTGCTTGGGGCGGCAGATTGTTGGAGGCGGCATTCTGCCCAATCCTAGGGCGGCACGGCCGCTTTTTTGTTTGTTTGTTTGTTTGTTCTTGTTCTGCTCCGGCCGCCCTGTAGGGGGCGGCGGCGCGGAGAGCCAGAGCGCCCTGCAGGGCAGTCCTCTTCCTTCCCTCCCCGCCGACCGGAGCGGAACCCTCGTGGCAGGCGGCAGTGTAGATGGTGAGGCACGTTTTTAAGGTAGGTAGAGTAGAGTGCCATACATGCCTGAACTCCCAGGATATATACACCCTACAGGGGCTCTCTACATGCAATGCCTCCCAGGTCAACACTGCTATTTTTAGCAGTGTAGTGTCCAGCTGCTGGAGCCTTCCCCCCCCCCCCCCACCCCACACACACACACAATGAAAGGCTCCAGCAGCATGGGGGCAGCAAGGAAAGGTTCTGGCAGCTCCCCTGCTGCCAGGGTCTTTCCCCCACTACTCACTGCTGCCAGAGCCTTTCATTGCAGAGTGTAGCTACACACCAGCACCGCAATGACAAGTGTGGACATAGCCTGTGTTTCCTAGTGGCATGTAGCTACTTGTGCAATGCCAGTTCTCTACATGCCATCATGGTAAGTGTAGACATAGCCTAAGGGGGAGCCTGCAATTTACAGGCTGTTGAGCCTTAGGGCTACACTGGGAACAACAGAAGAGTTAAAAAGCACCTAATTTCTATCAGGTTATACTAAACAAGCCAGACCTGCTTCTCTATAGGCACATAATACATCTGTGACGGCTTGTGTTAGAATTCTTCAAAAAGAGTTAAACTAGTAGCTCTAATCCAATTAGATTTTCAGAAAGTATGCAATATGTTCTCACCCTCATGAGGCTGCTAAGGAAACCTAGTAGCCGCCGTGTGAGAGATAAAAGCTTGTCACGGATTAAAGGCATGGCTAGAAAAACGTAGGAATATCGAATGACAAACTGGTAAGTCAAACAATACATTCTCCTAGGACTCAGTGCTGGAGCCACTATTTCATCCTCAAATTGACATATCACTAGCTCTACTGCAATAATTAAATGGTAACCTTACTAGAAGTGACTAATTGACTTGTACAAAAACTACAGACACCCGAGGCTAGTAGAAAGACAACACCACCTGATGGGAAACGTGATCTCAATCCAGCTCCAAATACACGGATGTCCACATTAAAATCAAACAATCCAAACTCCTACTATCACAGCTGGCACCAATGTGGCCCCTTTGGTGGCAGCCTCATTAGAGAAGTCAAGGGCTGACTAGGCCATGGGTACTGGATTGCAATTCTCACCCCAGATGCAATTCCTCCAGGTCATGGATGAGGCACACTGCCAGGGCTGTGACTGGAGAAGCTTGAATTTCCACTGCCCATGGTGTACCCATCATGGCTTTGTCTACACCGGATTCTATTCTTCTAAAAATTCCCACCATCGAAGCTACAACAGTCAATGGTGCAATTGCTACCCTAGAGAACATGCCAGCAACTGTCAGGGTTTCAACAGCACTAGAGTGAAATCCTGATCCCACTAAAGTTCA